ACTGGGCATTCGCTAGCATTTGCCAGTGACAGTGCGGACACTGCCTATGTCCTAGGAAAAGGAAGAAATGGGGAGAAGAACAGAGGATGCTCAGCTGTGGGACCAGACTCATCATGTGTAAGCACATGAGGGAAATGCTGAGCTGCTAATGGACAACTGTGTGCTGAGCTGGGCACACTAGCTGCTTCTGTTATGTGCTGTATAACATGCCGAAAGCTGAGAGACTCTGACTACTGTCAGCTGGAACAAAAATGTTACACTGTGGTAATAACAAAATAATCGTCCATATGTACCGGCTCCAGCTGTAGCAGTATGGACTCTGCATTATAATGACGTGCTGTGGGTGAATATGAACTCTCACTACTGTAGAAAAACAAACATCATTGCACATTACATTTAGATACAGCATGCTGTTTTTGCCAGGGTGCAGAAACCACTACCAGTGGCTCAGAGTGGCTGATAGCAGTGATGCAGCAGATATTCATTCCTTTTGCTCCCTTCCCTGCCCTCCCCCACCAAAAGAAAAAGTCATTGGATCTCACGACGGCACTGCAGTTTGATTCAAAATTCATCTTCGGAGCTGTCAGCTAAGAGCATTACGCGGTCTTGCATGCTGTTAAATTCCCTCTGCTAGGAAAGAAAGAAAAGGAAAAAAAATACATTAACTGGCTTTTAAATACAAGAGGGAAACTTTGAATTCCTTTCCCTGCCCCCACACCCCCAGTCAACTCAATACAGTCTGGAGTATCAGCGCTGTTCAACCCAAACAAAAGAGCCTTCACAATCAAACTGGTTTTTACTGTATGGACCGCAGTGGTAACAAGAGGGTGGTAGGCAGCATATCAAGGGTTTCTTTCCAGTAGTTATACCTTTCTTTTATGCCTTTTAGAGCCATTTCTCCTTCGGCGATTCATAATCTTAATGCTGTAGAGTGCTCCCAGGATAAAAAGGGCTCCGGCTATGCCGACCCCCACAGGAACCAGCATCCCAGACATGTACCCTGCCTACAAGAGAAAGAGACAATCACTGCAATACTAAAGAGACAACCAGTTCAGAGCTTTTTCCACCAGCCTAGGGCTGCAATGCATTTATATGCTTTTTTTCTTCTACAGCATATTGTATCTGGGGTCACAGCACACCTGGAAAACATAGCTATTTATAGGAAGTTTAAAAAAGCAGATTGAAATAAATCCTTTGGCATTTGGATATGCACATTTATTGCGCTACCAGACTGGAGCAGATGAAGTCTGGCATCCTGTCTGCAACAGTGACCAGGAAGAATGCATCTGAAGATGCCGCAGGAGTCCTGCAAAAAGCAAATGAGGGGCAAAAAATGCTCTGCCCCTCTTCCAACCATTTGTAGAGAAAGCAATATAATTTACTCTCTTTCCCATCTCTTTGCACGACTGCCGGTCCTCGTGGACACCTGTACTGTGCTCAGCACTACAGCACTAGAGGATTAGGGCAGGGTAAAGGAGTTCCAGAAAAATACCAACCCTGCCACATCTCACAGGTATCAAATCCCACCCCACCCCTGCAGAATCAAACCTTGATAGGATCAGGTCCTGGTAGGTTAAAGTCACCATTGGCTTACATGGTCACAGCTGAATTCACCTGTGGATCTGAGTGATGAATTCGTCCCCATGACTTTTAAAGGCTGACTGGGGATTTGAGATTGAACATTTTCATTCCCAACCCTGCCACATCTCACAGGTATCAAATCCCACCCCACCCCTGCAGAATCAAACCTTGATAGGATCAGGTCCTGGTAGGTTAAAGTCACCATTGGCTTACATGGTCACAGCTGAATTCACCTGTGGATCTGAGTGATGAATTCGTCCCCATGACTTTTAAAGGCTGACTGGGGATTTGAGATTGAACATTTTCATTCCCTCCAAGCCCCAAACCCGCCACATTCCTGAGGCTGCGCCTGAAGAGTCGCAGCTA